CGGAGTGGCGAACACATACGCAACATACCCTATGTACAAAGGGCGCGCGTCTACCTTCTCAGCAGGATTTTGTGTTTTGGTTCATGATTCATGATTAGCCACCAATATTGCAAAAATGTTTTCCATGTCTGGCAAAGGACCACGAAGACAACCACACCCACAACTCCAAACAAAAATACAGTTTTATACTATCCAACATAGGATGTACTGATTACTCCAGGGATGCAAAAAGTAGTCACCAGAACGAAACCCAATTCCAAATAATGCTAGGTGTTCAGCTACTTGTCCTTATTCAGAGTTTTCGTTTTGAAACTATTGCTGAAAATCTACGGAGAGGATCCCAGAGGTTTTGCTTTCCAACATATTTGATTCCTTGCAGAGTCAAACTGCAAATTACACAAAATTTGAGAGAGTTTGTTTTTGCAGGTGACCCATCCAAATGCATAGGGTTTACAAAGCACTTGATTTGTTTGTGCATGTGGACCTCTTCTGGTTCAGTTGAGTTCAAAGGTGGTTTGATATGTTTGATATATGTTGATCACATCCTCTCATTTTGTGAGCCAGGCAGCCCATGTTGGGACACGCCAAGGACTCATAGAGTTTCAAGGCTCTTCTGTAGTTCCAACTGTTTGTTGATTTGGAATAGGTTTCCCATGATTTCTGAGTTCACTGAAAATCTCGGGGTCGGGCGTGGCCCAAGCGGTCTTGAATCACAGAGCAAACTGCAGCGGGTTTGCAGAGATCCGTTGAAGCTGGTGGTGCGAATGTTTTAGCACAACAGTGGAATTGTGTTGATTTATTTGGTTGTGTCATGCTTTCTGATCCCTGCGCTCATTTTGAGGATTCAAGCTTTGGTGGTGGCTCTACTGTGCTGATTTTGAAGTACTTGCCGCTGAGAATGCAAAAGTTCACTTTTGAACACGCAGATAGATATTGAGGACCCTCAAAAGTTTGTTCAGGAAAGAGTTCAACTCAAGAATCATGTTTGAGCAAGAGGATGATGTTTGCTTTTCCTCTTTTAACATGATAGAAAGATCATCAATAGAGTTGCTTTCCTTGCCTGTGGGAGTGCCGTTTAACAAGTGAAACATGGTCGTTGCAAACTCGAGGCATTCGCAGGGTGAAAGTTTGAATTCACCTCCAAATGCTGTGATTAGGAGCAAAGACGCTACTACGGGTTCCTGGCCGTGCTACTAGTAACAAGAACGCTAAGAACGGAACTAAGGGCATCGCTACTAGTAGGGGCTCCTAGATGAATCTTGTTTGCCGTGGATCAGCAGCGGTGCTCAGCATGGGGTAAAATTATGAATCTTCGCCAACAGGTTCGGCGGAGTTTCATGACTAAGGATGGACACTTCGACCAGTTTTTAGATTGCCATGTGGAAAGCTACCAAAGCGCTGGCGGGCCCAAGATAGACAAGGAGGTGCATCATGGTTTTCCCTGTCGCAAGTGCCGTAAGTCACTCTGCAAGGTTTTGTTGCTGTCAAATCGCAGAAATCATAAATGCACAAAGGTCAAATGATATTTATCAGAACACAACACAACGATCAAAACATATTCACTCAATAGAGTTACTCTTGGCACCGGACGTCTTCGGACTCTCTTGGACGAACGTCGCCGCACCAAACGATCGAAACCCTCACTTTTCTCAGGTACTCCGAATGCAATTCATTTTGGCCTCGATGACCCAGATGTTTCTTTGCAGCAAGTGGAGGAGTACAGATGATTAGAGGTATGTGACATAGTAGCAAACATTGTTCCTAGTAGCGATGCACTTTTACTAGTAGCAATTATGTGACTCACCGGAAGTTTCAGTGTGGAGTTGTGTGAGCACATTGAACTTGTGCGAACTGATCAGCTTCACACGAAGAACAACCGACTATACTATAGCAGAGGTTGCATGTTTGGACCACTTTGGCATTTGGTTGAACATCGGGTTCTGAAAGTGAACATAGTCGATGGGATTCCAAGACACTCAGACTTTGTGTAGTCCCGCCCAGCAAGTCGAAGTTGCGACAGTTTGTACTGCTTAAGCATGCTAATGCTTTTGTACCTGCAAGGGCATGCAACCTAGTAGCGTCCTTGTTCCTAGTAGAAATGCCAGGAGCTACTAATAGCTTCTTGCTCCTAGTAGCGATGCCCTTTGTTACTAGTAGTTAAGTTTCACTAAAAATCTAGGAACCAAATCATTAGTGCAAGCACTTCTTCAAGGAAGCTTCCCCCGCCGCCCTGTCGGGGGAGTTTCCGCGAGCTCTCCTGCGTCCTCTCGGTAGTAGCTATTTAAACTACTAGCTACCTCTAGCTACCTCCTACCTCTACACGGCCTACCCTCCCTAAAAAAGAGGTGCTTGTGCTCCTAGTAGCGTCCTCTTGTTCATGCTTTTTGTAAGTCGGCGATGAGGTTTGGATTGGTCGCCGCAGTGAGTCAGATCTACAGGTGCACCGTGTCACGAGCGCAAGTAGTTAAACGTGGACGACGGTATTAAACATGCCACGAATTCGAACATGTCAGAAGTCAGATATTTGGATGCTTATCAGAGGCTTCATGACTTACTAAATTCGTTAATCCTTCAAGGTACAAGATGTGCGCATCTGGTCTCGAGATGCATCGCCAGGATGTGCCCGAAGAAAGACTTTGGAAGCATCAAGGATCGTTGCTGGTCCGAAATGGAGCTGTAGATGTTGCATCCAGACAAGTGAGAAGGAGAATGTCGAAGTCTTGAAAAGATGTCAAAGACGATTTTTTGAGACTGCAGATAGTAGCTGATGTGTATATATGTCTATGTACATAGAAAAGAAGAATGAAGGGTCTAAAGATAAAACTACTTGAGATTTCAGATAAGCATAACAGAAAACGTGATTTGAATTCGCTTGATTCTTGTGTTCGTTATTGGCCACAAGAGTCCCAGATGTAAAAGCCGGAGCTGAGGTTATGACTCCCGCGTGGGAGAGAACATCAACGGCAAGAGCACCTTACGTTTGTATCTTCAGGCACAAAGAACAAAGAAGACCATGCACCGTTTGGTCAACATGGAATAAAAAGATTGGAATTAAGCAGAAGCTCAATTCCAACTACGTTAAGATGATTAAAGATGTGGGTGGATGGCGAATTGGCTCATCTTTGGGTAGAAGTGCTGTAGAAGAAACACGCAAGCTCGCTATGCCAATGCTGTGAACGGATACTGACCTCAAAGCTTCCCGACCCACCCCGACTTGCTGGACATGGTGGGGGTGGCCGTGCAACGTTCTTGTTACTAAGAGCGTCTTGCTCCTAGTAGCGATGCCAGGAGCCCCTAGTAGCTTCTTGTTGTCCCTCAGCGAACGTGAAAGGCAAACCAGAGGTCCCGATGTTCGCAATTCGGTTGGTCACGTCGGAAGTTTCGAGACGCTTCGAGACGAAGGTGATGAGGACCATTTTGCTGATCATGGAGAACTGGAAGGAGCACCCTTTGGGACAACTGGTGCTTTAAACAATCGCAGTATAAGCTGCTGACACGGACCGCAGAAGAGATTGTCTATTCAAATTCAAGACGAACTGAGTTCCGTCAAATGAAACTCCAGGGCTTGGTTGGGCTTGAAGGGTATGGTTTGCATGGTATGTTTGGGTTGACAAGTTGAAAAGTACTTGGAAGCAGATGTTGGGCTGCAAAAGCTTCCACATGCACAACACAAAGCAAGAAAACAGCCAACATGAGGATATTGCAAAGGAAGCTATTGAACACATCTCAATTTTCGGCGCTTCAGGCAGACAAGGTGCTCGATGATTTCGAGGAGAAGATTTGTGGCCTTCTCTCCATGAGTTGCGCGGCTGCAGCGCACGACCACAGGGTTAGCATGTTCGTGTCGAGGTCTCTTTCCTAGATGGATTGGACCCTTTCACACAATATGTAAGTCCGGTCAATGTGCTTTCAGGATTCCAAAGCCTCGTTTTGATGAAGCTGGGTTACCATAGGCCCTCCGAGAAGCACCAGGGACGGATGAGAAAGGCGAACAGCTGAGGCAAGAAAGATGCGTCCACCATGGAAGCCGCCTAAGCCGCTTGACACCACAATCGACCAGGCCTGAAAGCTGAACCTCAAAGCATCCAGGGCCGGCCACATATGACTCGTTTGTGACTCGTTGTGACTGAGCATCGCTACTAGTAGCATTTGCTACCCTTCCACACTTGTTGGTGAGCTTGGCGTCACTTTGGACTTTGAGAGAAAAGGTGTGGAGAGGACAAAAGCTCCAGCTTGTGCAAGACCAGACGAACACATGGTTTGCCTGCACTCTGGCGGCAACAGCTTGTGAAACCATCCGGAATGGTCAGCCTTTTCAGTGCCTCAGGGCACCATCAAAATATGGTGGCTTCTTGTTCCTAGTACCGATGCCAGGAGCCCCTAGTAGCGTCATTGCTCCTAGTAGTAAGGCCAGCCCCTAGTAGCGCCCTTGTTACTAGCATTGAGACGTTGCACATTGGACCTTGAAGGTCTCTTGACTGCAGTTTGCCAGGTCACATCGATGGTTCAGCCGCTCCTGAGGTTTCACCTGTGTGAGGATTGAGGAAGTTCAATGCATGGCTTCCAATAGGACAGCTTGAAAAGTGGGACATTGCGATCAGAAAAGTGGAAAATTGTGACCTGGAAGAGTTGAGAAGCCTTGAGAATCCTTGCTGATTGCTTTCAGTAGCCAGATCTTTCAAAGGCCCTTGCAACGGCCAATTGAAAAGTGGCACTATCAAGCCTAGAGTCACAGGATGACTTGGATCTTCCAAAGTGAGGCTGAGAAAAATGCGCGTTCGACTCACATGTATATTTTGATATGCAGTCGATTGTCAGCTATGAGCAGCAAAACTCCAAATCTTCTACTCGCCACATGTATTATCTACCAAGCGGGAATCCTCCCTCCCTCAATTTGGTGAACTTTGACCAGTGTACCCACCAGATTCGCGTGAGGGAGCTCAAAGGTCATCTAGATCTGTTTGACCGTTTTAAACGTGAACATGTTGCTTTTTGCGCAGGCGCAGCGCCGCAACGACGGGTGCGCCCGGGGTGAGGAGTATGTGGAGGGGGCTGGAAGAAGTTCATCAGTCTTTGTGGAAGGTATTTGTTGGTTTATACTATTTCTTTTCAAGGGTGGTAGGCCGCCGCTATTTGGTTCCTAGTAGCGAACATTGCTCCTAGTAGTAAGGCCAGGAGCCCCTAGTAGCGTCCTTGCTCCTAGTAGCGATGCCAGGAGCCCCTGGTAGCTTCTAGCCCCTAGAGATTTTTAGTGAAACTTAGGGTTGGAGGCCATCGCTATTAGGTAAAAGGACATTGTTGCTAATTGGTAGCAAGGAGGGTGTACTCCAGACTTAAGCCCTTACGAGTAGCGCTCGGGGTAGAGTCAGAGCGGCGGTCGTTGCACTGTGGTCACTGCGGTCACTGCGCCAGGGCAACAAGCCCCTGAAGCCGGTGGCGATACCGGCGAAGATGCAGCGCATCATTTGCAGTGTCCTTTACGCGGACTTTGTGGCGCCTCAGAGAAAAGACCAGTGCCCCTTTGCTCCTAGTGGCTTCTTGTTTCTAGTAGTAAGGCCAGGAGGCCCTAGTAGCGATGCCCTTGCTCCTAGAAGAAAGGATTCACACGCCGACCAGGCTGTGATTCTTCATAAAGCTGCCGACGCTCAAATAGAGCGCATCAGATCTATAGGAAGATTCAGATTGCCATTCGGCAGGAACTAGACGCCCATTATTGATTAGTGGCTGGACATACGGTCAACAATACGTTTTGCGTTTGAAGTGGTTCGCGAAGAAGATGTTTTGGTAACAAGAAGCTACTAGTAACAAAGGACATCGTTACTACTAGCAAGAACGCTACTAGTAGCTCCTGGCCTTACTACTAGGAGCAATGTTCGCTACTAGGGGCTCCTGGCATCGCTACTAGGAGCAATGTTCGCTACTAGGGGCTCCTGGCATCGCTACTAGGAGCAATCTTCACTATTAGCTTATTGTTTCTACTAGCTTCCTACCCCCCCCGCGCGCGAACAGGTCCTAGTAGATTCCTTTGCTAGTAATTAGAATTCTACTAGGAACAAGTGCCTCGCTAGTAGTAACAAGTGCCTTACTAGTAGTAACAAGAAGCTATTACTTTAATTTTTTTTTTTTGCTTTTTTGTTACTACTAGTAAGGCACTTGTTACTACTAGCGAGGCACTTGTTACTATTTAGCAAGAATGCTACTAGAGTGAGACCGAGGCAGTCACCCCGCTGGACGAGAAGCGGGGTCAAGCCATCCAGCTTTGCCGCGGCGGAGAGGTGCCGTGGTCGACGTAGCCGCTGCGTCATGCAGAATGGCTGCCGTCAGTCAAACTCTGTCCGTCGGTCAAAGATGATTTAGCACATCACGTGAGCTGGCTCGCTTGGAGCTTCTTAAATAGACCTTTTCAAACATATTGTGGAAGACCGGATTGAATTCAACACCAAGCAGATGCGGTCTCAAGCGAATATCAAGCTGGATAAGTGTTGCTTTTATTGCCAGAGGGAATTGCCGACCATCCCCCAAGCAGAGGTAATTAATAAGTGAACAAACTACCACTTGGACCTCACAAGTAATTGCTTGTTTGTTTGGAAGGGCAAGTGAAGTAATACTTTAGGGATAAGGGAAGCGAGGGAAGGTAGTTCTTTGACCTCGCCTAATCATCTCAAGTGTGTAAGCAAGCTCTTTCGATTGAAATATCAATCCATGATGAATCTCAAGGGTGAACCTTCTTGCCCTGTGAAGAAGCAGTCCCTTTTGTTGTTTCACAAAAGCTCGAACTTCGAAGACTTCGAAGTCGAAAACTGCACAGATCGTCCCTCTGCTTCGCTTGCTCCGATCTGTCGAGCTCGAAGTGCGGAGCTTAGAGGCGACAGAGACCCTCAACCCGTAGGTTGAGCATGTCTCTCCTGTCTAGTCGTCTATTCTGTTCCTCTTCTGTGGTCCAAAGTCCCGCGGCTTTGACCCATAGCCCTTTGATTTGCAGCCGTCCCCCACTTTGCATGGGTACACGAACCATAGCATGAGGTGCTCTGACTGGCAAGAATAGCAGCAAGTTGGAAATGGAGTCTGAAGTTCTCCTTTCTGGAGCTTTTTCTCCCAACAAAGTACACGTTACACGACCATGATTTTCCAGCACATTTCAGTGTAGACCATGAATGACCTCATTCTACTGGTTGAGTGGTGGATGTGATAGCAGTAGTGGTAGTGGCAGTGAGTGGTAGTAGAAATGGCAGTCGTCGTAGCAGCAGGAGTAGTACTAGTAATCTAGTGCCAACAGTAGGAACAGTGGTGGATGTGGAATCCGTTTTGCCTGCAAAATGCGCCCAGAACTGACTCAGGCGCAGGAGGGTCGGGGGCTCAGAAACATGGTGCTGAAATGGTGGTAAGGGCGGTGCAAGAAAGACAACGAAGCGTTTGGAAAGTTGCAAGGTGGTTTGCAAGTCTTGATGTATCGCGTTGCTTTGTTGTAGCGTGATTTTCGGGTGACTGTTCCCAAAGCGTTTTCAGCAGCGTTTGGCACATGCAAATTGCAGGTGGATCAAAGCCGGGGAACCCGATGTGAAGAGACTCGAAGTACCCAGCGACGGCTCTGTGGAACGATATAGTCACAAGGAAGCTACTAGGGGCTCCTGGCCGTACTACTAGGAGCAAGAAGCTACTAGGAACAAGAAGCTACTAAAGAATCATCTCGTGACATCCGAGTGGCTGTTTCCATATTGTAGCGCACCATGGCGCACCCTGGGATGTGCATGATTCATGTTCATGTGCTGATATGAGGATGTTTAACGGACTTCGACAGTCTTCAACCGGACGAAATCACATTGAAGGGAGATCCTGCAGATGAACTTTCCGTTGTTCGTTCAGGTTCCGCATTGTGCTCGGTGCAGGAGGAGTGCAGGCCATCTCACTCTTAAAACAAAAGCATGAGTTGGGTTTCCCGCAACTTGGAAATTTGATTGTCCTGTCTTTGCCAAGAAGGAGTTGTCCGAAACTTTGGAAGTGTCTAGCCTGCGTACCATGTGAGCGTTGCTTTCAGCATCAATAAGACAGCATAATGCTTAGAACCCCCGAAGCAATCTCAAGACATTATATATGCATAGCTCTGACATGCTTTGGCACAACCTCGAAGATGAACAGTTTGGAGTCTGGAGTGTTGCACGAGCAAATGCATACCATATTCCTGAATACCAGATGAACATATATTCAGTACAGTTCAATACCTTCTGTAGTTCTATTTGTTGTCCTTTAAAGAAAGTCAAGCGTTTCTTTCAAGAACATATGCGTGCTTTCCTGGTTAGTGGTTGCTAGAGAATGATACCGTCCATCTTTTTGAGAGGAGCCTAATATAATTTGAAAGCGAAATTCGGAGACACCGAAGAGCCGAAGATCTTAGAAAGTGCAAGAATGCTAATTATTTACCTGTCTTTCGTTTGGGAAAGCCTAGACCATGAAGCTAAGTTAAGTAGTGAGTAGTAATAGCGATGGCCTCCAACCTAAGAGGCTCAGAGGTAGAAGCTCCTTTTCCTTTCAACCTGAATGGAAGGCGATTGTTGGACTCTTCCTCGATGGCGAGCTCTCGTGGGAGAGGACCGCTTGCATTCCCATGAGAATGTGAGAAACTTCAAGTGGAGAAATGCTTTTCTGCAGTTTCTCCATCACCTCCTTTTCCTTTCCTTGTCCTTTTCTTTGTCCTCGTTCATTTCCTTTTCCGAATTTACTCTTCCAACTCGCCAAGTTTCGAGTCACAAAGTGTTTGCTGATTGTTCCGGACGTCGGTTGTGCGAGTTCTTCAGTCGCATCCCGACTGGCATGCTGTCCTTTTGTGTCCAGCAAATGGTGGCACTAGCCAGGGCTCGCGAGCACTTGCAGCACGAGGCAGATTCTGAATCATCGAAAAAGGATTCGGTTTCTGTCAAATTGTACTGACCCAACGGCACAACTTTCAAAGTCGGCATTCTTCTTTTCCAGTTGTGTCTTGTCCATGTTTGCGCCGTTGTTTCGTTCGACTGCGGCATAGGCCATGGACACTCAAAGTGACTGAGCTCTTGGGTTCGGCGCCCAAGGCCACGCCGAAGTAACGCAAGACTTAGTTCTTTGAATCATGAAAATAGGTGTTCCAAAAAAATGTTGTTCTTTATTCCATATTTAACAGATTGTTTTTCTTGTTTTCCTTCTGACCTGTCCGAATGCTTTATGTCCTTTCTTTTAGCCACAGGAACTTCCCACCAGATCTTTGTCACTCTTTCGAGTCGTGAAACATCTCTGAGCTACTAGGAACAAGTGCCTTACTAGTAGTAACAATTGCCTTACTACTAGTAACAATAAAAATTTTATTAAAATTGTAATTAGTAGCTTCTTGTTACTACCAGTAAGGCACTTGTTACTACTAGCGAGGCACTTGTAATTACTAGCATCTCTGAGCGGAATTAAGAGCAAATGTCCAGGTGAGGCCTCAAGTGTTTTCTACTAGGGGCTCCTGGCCTCGCTACTAGGAACAAGGGCCTTACTACTAGTAGAAACAATATATAAATAGAATTCAATTAGTATAATTAGAATCTAACTAAAATTAGTAGCAAAGAAGGCTACTAGGACCTTTTCGCGCGGGGGGGGCAGGAGCAAGGATGCTACAAGGGGCTCCTGGCATCGCTACTAGGAACAAGAAGCTATTAGGGGCTCCTGGCAATGGCCTCCAACCGCCTCAGGTGTTGTGCATCTGTGGAAGATCCTTTTAGATCCCGGACGTCGAATGTTTGCCAGGCATTGGATTCTCGTGAGCTGCGGGCGCTTCCAGCCAAATGTTGCCGGAGCGGCGCTTGAAAGTGGCACTTGTTCCGGTCAATTAAGCATTTCGGCCGAAAGGACTTCCTTCAGGAGCCACAGGAAACAGCTCATATGAGCAACCGCAACAGCTCATATCGTTCATATCCACATGCATGACCTCCTGTCAAGGTGTGTCCTCAGGTCCGCGCTTAGATCGGCATCGAAGGATCCAGACTTGGGTGTGTTTCAACGGCACCATGAAGCAAGTCAAAACGGACGCTACTAGGAGCAAAGGGCATCGCTAGTAGGAGCAAGCACGCTACTAGGGGCTCCTGGCCTTACTACTAGAAGCAGTGCTACTAGGAGCTTTAGCAATGCTTAAGACCGCTTCTAGGTGGTGAACTGTGAGACAAACCCATTTGCCTTGATCAATGGATTCTCTATCGGATAGTGTTTTCTTGCACATGGAGAACAAGCGTAAGTTTATCATAGATATGAGTGTCATAGTTTATCATAGTTCTTCTCACCTTCATGAAGCCTCGGAGTCTTGAAGCTAGTAGCGTCCTTGCTCCTAGTAGCGATGCCAGGAGCCCCTAGTAGCGTCCTTGCTCCTAGTAGTAAGGCCAGGAGCCCCTAGTAGCTTTTTGTTACTAGTAGCTATGCCAGGAGCTTCTAAGTAGCGTCCTTGTTTGCCAAACAAAAGTCTTGTCTTGAAGCTTGTTCTCCATAACTTGACCAACAAAGATGCGCAAAGTCCCAGTGCTCCTTTTGCGCTCGCCGGATAAACGATGGTTCCGATGGATTGTGATCTTTTCAGAACAAACCAAGAAAGGCCATTGAAGGCAGATTCGACCGCCGTCAGGGGAGCTACCCGTTGAAAATGCAAATGAAGAGACATCCTGTCACATCCTTTGGTTTTGATGGAATGAGTTCCTGGCATGCTAGCTTGCTGTCCATTACCAGACAGCACGCTGCTGCCGTTTGAGCCTTCTTCTTGCATCTCGCTTGCCGCTTGCCCCCTGCGCTCACCACTCTCGCCAAGGTGAATTCAAGAGAGCGCTCTTTCGGATTGCCAGGTAGACAAAGGTTAGCGGTTAGCACCGAGACATTGGTTTTGATGAGGACCCTTAAAGCTTTGGTGAGTGGAGTGAGATAGGAATTCTGCTTAGCGTAGCGGTAGTGCTTCTTGCTCCTAGTAGTAAGGCCAGGAGCCCCTAGTAGCGTCTTTGCTCCTAGTAGCGATGCCAGGAGCCCCTAGTAGCTTCTTGTTCCTCATTTCTGGCACTGCTAAAATTGTCGATGTCGCACAGGAACAGGTCGATGTCGCCGCCCTCGTCGCAGAAGTTCTCGCAGTTCTCGTCGCAGGTTGGGATAGAAAGGGCATCAAGAGAAGCAAGGTCTAAGAAGAAACAGATAAGAAAGACGCTACTAGGGGCTCCTGGCCTTACTACTAGGAGCAAGGACTCTACTAGGGGCTCCTGGCCTTACTAGTAGTAACAAGAAGCTATTAGAAACAATAAATAAATAGAATTATGATTAAAACTAATCTAAATGTAATTAGAATTTAAGGTCTAAGGGTCCAAGGGAAAAAGAAACAGAAAGAAAGGCAGCATTCGGGTAGCTACGGTTGGTTGTAAATACAGCGATGTCCAAGATCTCAGCACAATAGCCTCTGGTGATAGATCTCATGCCGTTCGGAATTTCTGAATGATATGAAAACGAAATGAGAATTGACGTCTTTTTGTGTCTTTTGTAACAAAATAAGAACAGGACTTGCTTATTTGTTTATTTTGTGTGTACATTGCTTAATTTGCAAATTGTCCGTTGTGCATCAGGTGCAGACTGTCCTTCTTCGGCCTGAGCCCCGGTGTCGAAGAGACAGCTACCTTGACACCCGTACAAATGTTTGTGTGTAGAAATTATCCATGTCACAATGTCTATCGAAGATATGAACATCAATACATCTATTTGGCACCACATGCCAGTGTAGCCACTTCATCATGCTTTGACACCCTTGATACCAACAACCCGTCTTTGAGACAAAGCCATTTCATCACTTTTTCCAAGCGAGCAAGCCTCATATCAACTTATATCCCATCAAAAATAAATAAAGGACAGCTCAACATGAAGGAGTTATTTGTTGCGACGAGCAACTTCCACCAAACGACTCGAAGAGGTTCGAGGCACAAATAGCAGAGCCAACCTATCTACTTCCAGTGGATGTTCCGTCGGTGGGCCATACGTGTGCAAATGTTCGTGCATTTGACATGACTAAGTGTACAGTTCTAAATGGTATGGCTAACGCATTTTGTATTGGAGCCGGACTAGGATTCTGGAGGAATGGACGGAATGGACTGAGTCTTGGCCATCACAGGAATGACGACTGGGATGAGGAGGCTGGGCCAAGACGTGCAAGTCCTAGGTGTTGGACTCAACCCTTTCGAGTGAAAAAAGAATCTACTTCGTGGAATTTCAGCTATGGTCTCTTTTAGAGGGAGGGGTTCTCTATGACAGCACTGCCCACGTTTCAGGAGGGTGTCTGCTACGTGGTCCCGGCGACGGTCCGGTCGTACGGGCTGCTCAGTCGAGAGCCATCGGAAAAGAATCACCTAAGCACCTGTTACTACTAGCGTGGCACTTGTTACTACTAGCCGAATGGTTCTATAGTAGGCATTACAAGTATGGTATTTGTAGACCGATATCTTGTACTTGTACGGTATAAGTTGACGTCAGAACCTGGAGCATCAATTGGCGTAGAGATGTGATTGATGACGGGCCTGCGCTGACCCTGCCTTTTCAAGTCTATTTGTTTTCAGACGAAAACACAAGTGGAGGCACAGCTTTCGAGGTGGCTTCAACCTGGCTATGGCAACTCCATTGTCGCGGTTCCTTCAGAACGACCGCCATCATTGTCAGGTTCGGAATCCAAAGAGCTCCACAGAACCCGACTCCCCACACCTGCTTGGATAAGTAAATTTGGTTGAGTCAGTTTGCCAAGAGAAGTCCCTCCTGTTTGCACATAATCAGTCATTTTTTTTTTCACAACCCAAAAGCTTTAATGAAATCGATTAGGGAACCGAAGATCTTTGCTTGTCCACAGGTTCAATAGAAAGCTCTTGACGTGTTCTACAAGTCACTGCCAAGCAACTTAGTCATTTCCACGCATTTTCCTGGCAGTATCATCACGGTCATCATGGAAGGGAGGCTCGCGGGCAGGTTTCGACCCTTCGATTCTTCAATGTCAGGACGACCTGCTACTAGGAACAAGTGCCTCGCTACTAGTAACAGGTGCCTCGCTAGTAGTAACAATGTTAGCTATTAATTTTAATTCTAATACTACTAGCGTGGCACTTGTTACTAGTAGCTTCTTGTAATTACTAGCAAACGAATGGCCTTCAACCTAATAGCGGTGACTTGCTATTCTCGCTAGTGACAAGCAGTGAAATCCATGTTCTCCAAAGAATGTGCTTCCTACTATAGATGCCTGTCGTAATCAGGTGGGCCCACAGTCGGAGACCCAAGTTGCTTGCAGCCTCTAGATTTTATATTTACAAGAACTTTCGCCTAAAAAAGCTGTCAAATAGGAAAGCATCCCAGCATGGCTCAGCTTCGGAGTGGGCATACGGGATCCAACCTTGACTTGGTGCTTTTGAGGCCCATCCTTCCGTCTAAGTCCTGAGCTCAACCGAAACCGATTTCTCCATTATTAAAAACAAAAGATGCAACAATGCAAAGGGTATTGTGGGTGGGGTGTCAGGCAGGCTTGGTGCAACACTGTTAGTACTGATCACCACTTGTTCAAGAAAAACAACTGAACATGCAGGTCACAACTGCATGCCCAGAGCCTTTGTCATTGTCTTTGGATAAGGTTCTAGAAGCTTGAACACTTGATAATTCACCCAATGGATAAAAACGTAGCACTGTAGGGAAACAAGTGTTCTTTTGGGGGGGAGCTTCACATGTTGTTCTGCATTCTTTCATCTCGATTCTATGTGCCGAAAACAGAAAGCCATGAGGTCCAGGTTGGTGCATTGTGTCGTCGCGTGCCTGGTGCGTGGCGGCAAGGTGCCGTCACGCTTGTTTGCTGAAACAGCTCTTTGGATCTTGTCCGACCTTGTCCTTTTGTTCCTTTCTCTTTAGACCTCCAGACCGTTCTTTTTCTGTGTGGCGTTGTGTTGAATTTCGTGAGTTTTCTAAGAGGCTGTGGATGAACATAGCTTAATGTCCATCCACATCTAGGAATCGTTTTGTACAAGCAAGGAGCCTACCACGGCCTACTTCCCCAACAGAAAGACAACGTCCGGTGTCGATCGCATCGCTTTGGACTCCTTTCCAGGTGATCACACCAGGCCTCGCCACGTGTAGCGAGGGAAGCCCTCGCTTGCGGCCGCACTTGGTGGCAGTGCCCAGCGGGAATCAGACTTTGATAGCAGGATGGCTGTAGCTCGGATGAACGCAGACGGCCTAATTGTACGTACAATTTGAAAAACATAATGTCTGAAAGACAATCTTTTGATCTTCGCCCGGGTCATCTAATTACGTTCCCTTCCAAAAAAGGCTTTGGTGGCGACAATTTGAGACAGTGATGCAGGTGTCTCACAAGCCAGACAATTCAAAGCTGCTTCACAATATTAAACACTGGAGGGCAGTCTTATAAACTCCTTGCGTAATTGGTGTTCAGCTTATTTCTGGACCACCGGGAAAACTGCATCGGTACAATGGTCTAAACAGGTGCATATTTCGATTCAACGCTTGGAAGGAAGAGGGACAAACCCTGGAATTCGGCTAGAATTGACGTTAATTTGCTAACTGGCTGAGATACCGAATGATAGTAGCGTCCTTGCTCCTAGTAGTAAGGCACTTGTTTCTAATAGCAAACATTGTTACTACTAGTAAGGCACTTGTTCCTAGTAGCGATGCACTTGTTCCTAGGAGCGAACATTGCAACTCGGTGAGGCGAGATTGTTGAATGGCCGGCAGCCCAAATCGATGTCGGGTGACCCGGACAGGTCGTAGGAGCAACGTGAGCTACGAACGGAGCAAAGGGCATCGCTACTAGGGGCGCTCCTGGCCTTACTACTAGGAGCAAGAAGCTATTAGGTTGGAGGCCGCTATGAGATTCAAAGGGGTCCTTTCTATCAAGTTGTCGTGATTTTCGCCCTCGAGCTTAGGACTCAGCATGCGGAAATCGCAGCACTGAATCGGACAAGCTAGCGAATTTACGGTCAAGATGCAACAATTGTCATGCTAGCAAGATAAATAGATTAAATTTAATTTAAAAAAACACGGCCAGAAAAAAGACGGTAACAATAATGTGTTTTAGTTTGGAAACAAACCACGTTCTTGTTTCCACTTGCTACGCTCATGGGTTTGACTTCCAATACTCTCGAACCTGGCCAGGTTGCCGAAGAGCACCACCCTGCGGCAGTTGCGGCAGATGACACTCGTGGTGGCAGCCTGTGATCAAAGAAATGTGCAAGTGTTGCTCCCATATTCAAAGGGACAAAAAACTTTAAGACATTCTTATTAAGGGGCCCTTACCTTCATTGTTTCTTCTCTAAGCATGGCTATCGCTATGGTGTTTGGAGTACTTGGGCATGGCCAAAAGTGTCAGAGGTTTTGGACTGGAAACGGACTCCGCAGTGCTATTCATTGAGGGTTTCTACTACGTTTTCCAGGTGATTCGGCCCAAGTACAATCAGGAGTTGCGGCGCTCCAGGCAGGGACGGTTTCAACATCCGATTCTCAACATGCCCTGAGTTGCTTTTCATATCCAGCTTGCAGGTGTTCATTCACGACCCCCTCCCAAAAGTCCGGAAATGAAGATCTTAAAACTAAGAGGATCGGGCAGTGCATGTTTGGTTTGCACATTCACTTTTGACACGCAGAACGTCCTGTGACACTTCAAGTTAGAGAAGCAACCGTCTATTCGTTTTGCTACGGTGCAATAACAGACATTGCTAAATATGTGTCCTGAGGATGCTATGTGCACAGCCCTGTCAGAAACTCAGCGTTGCGGCAATTGTCTCGTACAATGATAGATTGAAAAGCTTGGACACTGTTCATGACCTGACAAGAACGTAATCTCGGTTGATCTCGGCGCTTGATTCTGTGGAAGCCTCTCAGAAAACCAGAATCAAAGGAATGTACAAGTCTTGGTGCAGTTCTGACCATCATCTAACACAATGCTGGAATTGTTTGAACATGGCCAAAGCTCCTGTAGTCACTACTGTGCACATGACACAGGGCATTTTGTGTAAAAGAGTTGCAACAGCCACAAACACTGGTGGACTGAGAGCAGCAGAATCGGTCTTAGGTCTTGAGTGTGCACAGATCATCCGCGCTTTGGGCATTAAGACCGTGGTGTATTCCTCTGAGGACTTTCAAGACTGTGCTTGTCCTCCGATCAACATGCAAAGCGACAATGGAAGACAGTGTATAGTAACAAATCGAACATCTATATAACATCCTGTAGATTTGAGTGTGTGTGTTGAGATGGCAGGGCTACACGTGTCTCTTTGAGAGGTCTTTGTATGCACCAAACAAAGACCTAGCAAAGAAGAGAAAGGACAGACGGAAGGAATGTTTGTGCCTTGAGGCCTTGTTTGTGTTGCATGTTGTTTCTACTACTTGTCCTTGGAGCCAAGTCATCTAGGACATGCTGTGCAGCTGCACGCCACAAGAGCTCTTGAGCATCTCTTCGCCTTCCTCTGGTGCCTTCGGGCTGCCGATGTTACGAGAACCTGATGAGTCTCTGTCTGTTATTAGTTGAAATAGGTCAACAAGAAGCTATTAGAAACCATTAAGAAGCTATTAGAAACCATTGTTTCTAATAGCTTCTTGTTACTACTAGTAAGGATACATCCAACATTTGGATCTTTCATTCGCACCCTTGAGGCTAGAAACAAGGTTCGCTACTAGTAACAAGTGCCTTACTAGTAGTAACAAGATGCAAATGCAAACTGGTTGAGATGTGTTCCTTTGTTTTTCTGGTTTTTCTCACACCGCTTCGCAAAGACCGCCCGCACGGACTTGGTAGCTCTTAGTTTTTAACGTGATCGATGCGTCCCCCCTATTACCAGACGTTGCCTTTTAGATATCGACTACGCTATCTTAGGCGTGTTGCAATCATCAGCCCCAACAGGGAAACCCGCAGGAATAATGCAATTCCATTCGGGCAGCGTGACTAACATTATCTCAATAGTCTTATCCTTTCTCTTTCGGGAAGGCCACAAATGCCTTCTCACTCGGGCAGCATAACTAACATCGCCAATGACTTGCACGTTCTTCATCGGTTTTAACAGCTTCAAAAACATTATATTCTAGAGTGAAAAAGCTCCCCAAGCTAAAGCCTAACAACTAATAGCGGCTTATGCAAACTGAGACAACGCCTCAGCACCTTCGGTGCGGGCAGGTTTCTTTTGAAAACCTGTGGCCCTGCCTCCTTGCTCAATTGTTGTAGGTGCCTACTCAGTTGAGCAAGGGAGAAGTTCGCTTACCTATGGACGCAGGATAGCGCTCGCACTCGCACTAGTGATTTTGGTTCCTAGATGTCTAGGGAGATTGGTTTCGCAAAGTCATTGTTTTCTCAGGGCTCCATGTCTGCATGGATGTTTGTTCCCTAGTCATCTCGTTTGTTATGGGATCTTGGCTTGTTGGTACAAATCTTTTGTTCAAATGAAGTTTTGTGCAGGTACAGAGTGGATCATGAGAGAAGAGGCTGCTTGTGACCAGTGATGGCGTGTTTGTACAGCAGATCGGTGTTGGAAAGCGAGCCACCTCACCATGAACAGTTCAAGTTTGTCCTCGCGTTTCCTGTGCTTCTCAAAATTTTATCATGATGCAAAACCTTTGATACCGGAAAGTGAAATACCGCATGGTACAACCTGGAGATTGAATCCACTGCAGAGCATCCAATGACACACTTCAATATGAGTTGTGTGTGAAGCATGCAAGCAAAAACTTGACTGCCATTCTCATGTTTGTTGACTTCTGACTACTTCAGTCCGATAGCAACTACATGATTGTGTTCACTGCCAAGAATGCTGATTGGGGATTTACGAACGGGCTCCAGCTTATGTTCCAAAGCACAAGCAACGATTTTGAATCTTGAAGCTTTGGCAGTTGATGAGCGACGGCCTCCAATCTAATAAAGAAAAGAACACATGAAAACATTGAAAAACTAGGAACAAGTGCATCGCTACTAGTAACAAGTGCCTTACTAGTAGTAACAAGAAGCTAGTAGGAGCAAGAAGCTAATTGAAAAACATGAAAACACAAAAGAACACCTCTCCGGAGCTTTCCAATCATCCGACCCGCGCGGCGCAGTCCGTGAGACCACGTCACGGCAAGACTGCTGTGGTCGCTGCTAGTGACTAGGGGCATGCAGAGATGTAAAGGGGCTTCTGAATCGCACGTTCAACACATGTACCGAAGACATGCTTTACAAATTGTGGCTAGTGGGACTCGACCACATTATGTAGGCCAGACCATAGAAGGTCTTGGAATAGGTTGTGAAAGTCACAAACAGCCCGTTCAAATAAGAATGGTTCGCTCTGAGTGCCAAATGTCCACCTCGGCTGCTTGAGGAATGTTCTAGTTGTCGTGCCTGCAGTGCCACTGTTCTGTGTTCATAGCAACCATTTGCTGCCGTTTTGGCGACACATAGCGCTTGTTTGTTCACAATCCTTTCAAGGCTCTGCCTGTGCACAACCTTGTACAGTCTTGACAAGGCCTCGAAACCATCAAGGGTCAACGGGCGCAGAAAACGCCGCAGCGTTGGGTTGGTTGCTTCACTTGTTACATCATGTGTTGGACTTTGCCATATCGACCTGAAACAGTAACAAGGACGCTACTAGTAACAAGTGCATCGCTAGTAGTAACAAGTGCCTTACTAGTATATAGTAACAAGGACGCTACTAGTAACACTCAAGTTGGTTCGGTCAGTCGGGAATCCGGAAGTCTCGCCGTCCTAGTAGATTCCTTTGCTAGTAATTACAATTCTAATTAAATTGTTACTAGTAGTAAGGCACTTGTTTCTAATAGCAAACATTGTTACTACTAGTAAGGCACCTGTTACTACTAGCGTGGCACCTGTTACTAGTAGCTTCTTGTTCCACTCAAGTTGCTTCGGTCAGGGAATCCGGAAGTCTCGCCGTCGAGCCTTTCCGCTTAGCCGCTTGGGGACGAGACGACAAGACGTTCGCCATGTCGGAGGGCAGCGACTTGCAGGGAATCCCAGAACAGAAGAGCATCTAATGTGAGCATCTTTCAAAGAGATCAAGAAAACATATGTGTTCATAAAGTTGTTTGTTGTTTTTCTATGTTTGCACTTTTTGGTGAAAGTGAGAAAGCGCTATCGTGTATAATTGGATTGTGGCTCTTGGAAGGCGACTTTGCACTCAGTGAAGTCATCGGCATTCCTTTCGTAACCTGAGAACTGATAACTAGGTCTTCTCTTGGTGTGATCACACAGTTCTAAACGGTATTTGATCACCAAAGTCGAATCAATATTGATGTAGAACACCGAGCGAAAGGTGGAATGATGTTGCTTCCGGTCATGTGTAAGAGCTTATCCAATCAAATAGGAGTGAATCACCGAGGAGTGTTTGGATTAGCTGTTTAGCGAAGGAATTTATCTTGTCCCAGGATCTAACACTTCCCATCACCATGTTTTGGCGACCACATGATTGACATTGACAAGTTGGATGAGGAATTCAAACCCCTTGTTCCACGTTGCTAACGCAGGGGTTGGCATTCAAGGTAGTTTTGGACTTGGATCGCTCAATTTTTGGCCAGCTTAGCGGCTATAGCAAAGCTAAGCTACGGCCATGTCGGGAAAGATCCCACCTGCTAGCGATGGCCTCCAACCTAATAGCTTCTTGCTCCTAGTAGTAAGGCCAGGAGCCCCTAGTAGCGATGCCCTTTGCTCCTAGTGGCGATGGCCTCCAACCTAGAAGCATGCCGGGCTACTACAAGTATGCTTTTCCAACACTACACGGCTGACACCCAGGGATGGCGGCCATGGCCTTCTCCTCAGAGATGGTCGAGTCCAACAGAATAACCCAATTTTTCCTGATGTCCCTTACGAATTGGGTAGAGGACGCTACTGGGAGCAAAGGGCATCGCTACTAGGAACAAGGACGCTACTAGGAGCTTTTTCTTGTAAAGAAGCTGCGTTGTTCACATTTGTTCGCCGCACAGTCTGGCTGGGCTTTGAAGTAGGTTCAGCGGCCTGGGAATCAGACGTTTGAGAAAGACTGTGACTCAGATGAAGATGAGAGCAGCGTGGGGATGCTCACGAAGCAGCAGCAGGAGAGAGTTCGGGTTTGCAGAACGCTGCAGATGTCCTAACGCACTTCCGGTGCTTTTGGCAAGCGCTGTGGCAATGTTTGCAGATTGAAGCCTAGAGGGCTAGAGTTCGACCAAGGTGTGCATTACCGGTATCCAGAAAAGATAGTTAAATGATATTAAATGTCTTCGTTGTATGTGTTTGTTTTGCATGGGAAACGACAGGAAGAGCTGGATTTTACAAAGATCAAGGCAAGTGCCGCGAGATTGAGACTGGATGCAAATGCTCTCTTCAATTGCTGACAACTTACTTTCTGATGACTTTGAGGGTGACTTGCATACCTGTCCAAATTCAGGCCAAGCCAAATGCATCGGAATAGCTGGCAGAGATTGAACAGGGAACAACTGATGGCGCAGGTGAACATGCAGAATGAGAAGTACCTCCTGGTACATTGGTTTGCAGGATGTAGGCTGTGTTGAACGTTGCAAACCGTTGAACCCTCGAAGCCGCAGATAAATTCACTATTGGCTTCGTTGTCACAAAACCTCTTCCCCTGGAAGTAGAAGGTGACCCTTAACAGCTTAATTGATTGTGCAAAATGATGATGAAGTCTCCTTATTTGCGCACTTCACTTATCCTTGTAGTTGGTTAGACATTTTGGAGTGGTTTTAGGTCAAGGAGCTGAGGACCTACGGAGTAATGGATGTTGAACTACTAGCTAATTAAAATCAACAAAAAGCTATTAGAATTATAATTAAAGTAAATCTAATAGCTTCTTGTGACTACTAGTAAGGCACTTGTTACTAGCAGCGATGCACTTGTTACTAGTAGCTTATAAACAAGTACCTGGAATTC